GTGACAGAATTGAGTTGGGCTGGGGAGTTTGCACGGAGACTGGGCACAGCATGGAGGTGTCATGTGGTTTGTCAAACCGGCTGAGTCAGGCTAGTATAGAAACTCAGGTTTTGGAGAAATATTCTGTGGTGAGTTAAGGAATTTTCGGGAAGCCAGGAAATTTGGCAACCTAGACTCTGTAATTCTTCCTATATTTATTTCATTAAAAATTATTTTATATTTCTCTATAAAAATCATACATTGTTGATATATAATGTTTATCTGGAATCTAATAGATGCTAGGTACCGTGCAAGACTCTTTAAAAGCATTATTCATTCACTCCTCATCACAGAAGTAGGTTTTATTATGATCTCCATTTTACAGATGGGAAAAAGGAAACTTAGAGTTAAGTGACTTGTTCAAAGTTACACCTCCAGTCAGTGGCAGAGCCAAGCCTCACATTCAGGTCTGCCTAACTCCAAAGCTATTCCCTTCACCTGTTCTCTTAACCTCAGTGTCTCCTTCTACACCATTGTTAGGAGAGAAAAAGAAACACATGAGGAAAAACACCTCTCATAATTCAACAACTCTAAGAAAAAAATATTAACATCTCAGCAAATATCTTTACAGTCTTTTCCAGATGTACAATTTTTTCACATATTTATAGTTATACTCTTTTTGAGTATATAAAATATTGTATCCCTGACTTTAACTTAACACAAGCACTTCCCAAATTAAAAAAATAATTAGCTATAAACTACATTTCACTAGGCTGATATGATGTACCATATTCTATATAACCTTCCCCATCACTGAACACGAAGTTGTTTCCAAGTTGCCACCAGTGCAAATAGTACTGTCATCAACCATTTTATTTGCATAAACTTCCCCCCAAACCTACATTACTTAGAATAGAGTCCAAGCAGTTAAGATGACTAGCTCAAAAGGTATGAAGATTTGAAAGGGTTTCATTCTTGAGATGAATTCCAGATATGGCTTTCCTGGCACGCTGGTTGGTACATCCCAACCAGTAGCACATAGAGGACTTGATTTGATACACACTTGCCAAAATGGGATTCATCCTATGTCATCAGTTGTCTATAACCTCATCTTCCTCTTTCTCCTGTCTGCATTTGCAAAATGGAGAAAAGTGTACCCTTTTAAACAATATCTTCTCTTGCTTTTTTTTTTATTGCTGTCCAAGGGATTATTTTCACGATTACCCAGCACTGAAACCGCAGACTTATTTCCATGACTGACTGGATATAGGAGATAAAGAAATGAAAGAAATAAAAAATTGTGTGGACTTTTTCTTTGAAAAGTTTCAAGAATTGGACCATTTGAGGTTCATCACTCCAATCTGACTACAAATTCCACGTGGCCTCCTGGGTTCTTTTCTCTTTCTATCTCATTCACCCTACACTCTGTTGTCAGACGGCTCTTTCATAAACACTGACCACATCACGCAATTGTCTGATAGAAAAAGTTTCAGCGGTTCTCTGTTTCTTATGTAACTCTTTTGCGTGGCCCTCAACCCCTGACTATGACCCATCAGCAAGTACACCTTATTCTTTTAGGTCCTCCTTCCCGTTAACTTCATCTTGTTTTGCCTTCCCGCCTTTCCAAAAAAGCAGTCTATAGGAAAGTGCATTTGACACTTATATTTTATAGAGACAGAACTTGCCATTTATATAATGATTCAGAAGGTACCATAGGACCTTCCAGTATTTATCACTGTAACATCAATTTATGAAAGTGGCTATTAATAAAGGTTTCCGGTTGATGGTGTTTTGAGATGATAGCTTATTCTGAATTTCTGGTCTCAAGCTATCACAGCAAAAGCAGAGAATTTGACCTTGAGTTTGATCAGGAATGAGGACTCTGGACTCTGAGACTATTCAGCCTGTGCAGCCATTGTGTAATCTTATGCTTAATATAATCACAACCCTTTAAAAATTCTGGCTTTTGTGGACAGGACTTGCATCCACCTTCTAGTCCAACTGTGCTGTAATAAGCTTTCTCAGTTAGCAGTTGCTCTGCTTTCAAGGGAATGTTTGTTTAACTCAGAGCTCTGCAAAAATGGAGCTCTACTCTGCTGGCTGTAGAGTACGTAGGTCAAGTGGAATTTTTGGCACTTCATTACATTCCCTGACCCTCACTAAACAAACTTCAAAATATATATATTTGCAACAATTTGGAATAAACACTACATACAAGTGTTGACGGTAGATTTTCTGAAGAACTACCAAATGCATCAAGACTAAGGAAAACATTCTAATGATTCTTTCAAACATGAATATATTTAAATTCTCGTTAAACAATCTTCTTATTTAGTCTTCTCAGGCTTTGATGACATGCCACGATTGGCTGTTTATCAAAAACTTAGCAAGAAATGCTTAACAAGATATAATCATGTGCACACACTTGTGCATAATTAAACCCAGTTTATAAATCAGTGCAGGGTGGAATATGGTCACACTACTCAAGAAAAGTTGGTGGCTAGCAAATAACACTTTTCTCTCCATCTATAATGAGAAAGCTTATAACGTGTGAATGCTGTAAAGGTGATATAATAATCTGATCTTAAATTTTAGTTAAAAACATCTATTTCCATCTCTAGTGAACTAAATGAAAGTTCTAACAAATTTAGGAAATTAATTTAGATATGAGAAACACGATCAGGCATTAATTGTTAATACTGGGATTGTGTGGCACGAAGGTGAAGAGTCTCATCCTTTGAAGATTTTTAATTGAATAGATTCTCATCTGTGTGTTTTATTTTTTTCAAAGGAGGATTTAGCTGACTTTCAGTTTTTTCATTTTATAGCTGTTCTTCCCGTTGGGAAAAAAAAAGGAATAATTGAGACTGAGTAATGGATATTTCTCAAGATCTCCAAGACTGGGTATTGCATAGCATTAGAGAGTATACTTTTCCATTTGTTTTATGACTTTGTCCAGTTAAAGTTACTGAGATAAGCACTCTAGTATTTACTTGTAACTTGAAACACCTTTCATGGTGTGTCTGGATCCTAAGGGAAAAGAATTAACATTTGAGGAATGCTTACCTTGTGCCAGGCATTTTATATGCATTATCTCATTTAATTCTCATAACCACAAGATATGGTTGATATTATTTAATCCGATTTTATGTGCCTGAGATCATAAAGGGAATAAAGTATAGAACAAGAATTTGACTCTAGATCTCTCTTTCTCTTTCTATTTCTTTAAAAGCCCAAGATCCTTCCACTAAACCACACTGGGTTTCCCACTATAGCTAGTAAGTAGAGGTGACAAGAAGGGACATTCTAACAATAGGGGATGTTCTGAACTTTGACACAAGTTCCCCTCTGGGAGTAAAATAAGAAAGAAACTAATATAATGAGTTAGGTTAAAATGTGTTACCTAATGCAGTGACTGGTTAAGCAAATTATGGACTAATCCTTACTGAGGAATACCATGTCATCATTAGAAAGAACCAGATAAGTCTGTTTAATGAAATGGAAGGCTGTCCATGAGTTGCAAAATAGTTGCAGAACAATGTGTACAGTATGATATACTTTAACACAATAAACAACCATATACCCATATGTTTGCATGTGCTTAGAAACAGGTCTGGAAGGATATATACAAAAATGTAGTCACTTCTGCTCAGATGGCTAAGAGTGACTGGTAAGCAAATTTCACTTTTTAATCTATATGCACCACTATTGCTTAAATGTTTTGCCTATGCAATTGCATGTATTACATTTACAATTAAAAATCATGCAATGGATTAGTTGAATAATCTGCAGGAATGACTCGAACCAAGGAATGGGTGATTAAGAAGATTTAATCTCACAAAAGCTAACTGCCCAATCTATTTGGCTTCAACATTACTATATATATATAGTGAAAGCTAAAACCTCATCGCTTGCATTGCACTCGTCCTTATCTGAAGAAGGTGTTAACAGAAGGCAAATGAGTAACAGTCATTTCGAACTTAACATGTTCCAAATGGAGCTCTCCAGTCTGCTCTTCCTATTCTATAGGCTCCTCCACCACTTTTACCCATCTTTCTTCATGGCTCTACCATTTCCTCACTTGCCACAGCCCAAAGCCTAGGAGGCACACTTGATTTCTCCTTTCCCTTCCCCACTGCTTCCCTACCAGCAGCAAATCCAATCTGACCCATCATTAAAATATCTCCCTAAGGGGTCCACTCAAGCCACCATTATCTCTTGCCTGGACCAATATGATTGCCTTCTAATAGGTCTCCCTGGTTTCACTTTTGCAATCCATTCTCCACATGGCAGCCACAGTGATCTCTTATACTCCTTCAACCTAGCACTCTTTGTGGTTCTTCACTGTATTTAGAATAGAATCTAAATCTCTCACTGTGGCCCACAAGAACCTACACGATCTGACACTGTCCTAATGTCTGTGACCTCAACTCCTACCACTACCCCACTAGTTCCTTCAGCTCTAGCCATCCTGGCCTGCTTTCTGCTTTTCAAATACATGAAGTTCTTTGGGTCCACTGGGTTTTTACACTTGCTTTTTTTACTGCCTGGAATACTCTCCTCTTAGCTGTTTACACATATGGCACCTTATCAATCTGAATCAATGTTTTATAGATAAAGAAATTGGATTTCAGAGAGTTTAAGTAACTTATTTGTGGTCACAACACTTGGCATATGGTGGGGCTAGGTTTCAAACTCATGTCTGAACCATTTCATGCTCTTCCAATTATAGTAGATAACAAAGAAGGCTCATCCCAGGGCTCTGACTATGGTTCTAACAATCAATTAGCAAAGATCTACTTGTTGAAAGGCCAGGAAAAATAAATTAATTCAGAAGTTCCTTTTGTAGGTTTCCTTTCCTACCTCTAGTATATTCTGCAGCTTCTGCAGGAAGACTTAGGTTAGCTAGAAGGGAAAATCTGAGATAGATGCATGTGGAAACTCTTGTCTTAGAGAATTGAAACTAAATATTGCTCATTTAGGAAATGAGTATATGACAACCAGAAACGCTTACAACTTACTTAGTTAGGTGTCCAAAGAGGACTTTCATGGTGTCACGATTAGGTGGAGGGAGTTTTTGTACAAGAGACTTTATAGTTTCAATTCTTGTGTTGTTGTCTTGCTTTTCTGAAAAAGAAAATAAATTAAAAATCAAGGTTAGAAAAGTGTGAGATTTCATAGGTACATGAGGGAATTTTCTTAGGAGAATTTTGGACTAAGACTTAGCAATTTAAGGTCCTAATCAGCAGGCAAAGGGAAGAGGTGTACTCTACATCGCTGTCATGGAGTTTCTTCATTTTGACTCAGAATTACCTCATGGTAATACGAAAGCAGCAACAGTGTGGCTTCAACACAATCTTCCGGTTAAGATCAGGTATTGAATCAGTTTGCATAAATGTTTTACTATTTTACAAGCTGTGGTAGGGTGAATAATGGCCTTTCAAACATGTCCATGTCCTAATCTCTGGAACCTGTGAATTTGTTAGCTGCCATTGCAAAAGGGACTCTGCAGATGTGATTAAGATGGGGAGATTACTCCAGATTATGTGTGTGGGCCCAGTGTAATCACCAAGGTGGTTAAGAGGGAGATCAGAGTCAGGGATAGAAGATGATGTGACAAAGAAAGCAGGAGAAATGGCTATGTGATGAAGGGCCCTGGGCCAAGGAAGGAAGACAGACTGTAAAAACCGGACAGGGCAAGGACATAGAGCCACCAGAAGGAGCACAGGCCTGCCAACACCTTGATTTTTGCCCAGCGAAACTGATTTCAGACTTCTGACCTCCAGGAATGTAAGATAAATTCGTGTTGTTTGAAGCCACTGAGTTTGCCGTAATTTGTTACAGCGGCAACAGGAAACAAACACACAAGAACACACAGTGTGATTCAATTACAAATGTTCTATTGTTTACTTGATCTTGTGAAAGAGTAAAGAATTTTTTTTATTACTTCTATGCTATCCTTTCTCCCTAACACATTTTGTTTTTGATGTAAAATAACAAAGTGCAAAAAAAAAAAAAAAATTGAAAGCTTAATACCTAGTCATATACATCTAAAAAAATAGAAAGTTCAAAACTACATATCACATAGATTTCTTCCCTTCATTGTGTTTCTTTTTTCCTTTATGGGCATGTATGGCATAGTAAGAACTGAGTTACTCAGTATGCTTGAGAATGCGTCTTACCATAGTTTTAACCAGGGCCTAGAACTGTACTTATTTATTGAACTTAAACATTTATATACACTGATTAGGTACCTTTCCTTTCTATTCTTTATCTCTAAGTTCTAGCACAGAGCTTCTTATGATTCTAAAGAGGCTTCTGCTGGAGAAGGTGATATATGAGAATAATATGTCAGGCATACACCCACCCAATATCCATTCTCTACTTCCTTAGCAAGACAATGCCACTGTTTAGGGAATGGCAGTATACCCAGCTAAAAGAGGCCATTTCCCAGCTTCCTTGGCAGCTGGAGTGGCCATGTGACCAAGTCCGGTCAGTGAGACTTAAGTCAAAGTGCTGTATGGGACTTCTGAGGAGGCTGTGTACAGGGAGCTGATTTCGCTTTTTAGCCCTTTTACCTTTCTGCTCCTCAGAATGTAGATGGAATGGTTGTACCATGAAATGACCTTGAGAACTGAGGCCATGCAGAGTGGAACACACAGCTTGAAGAAGCTTCTGTGAATCTGTGAAGCAGTCAGACCAGTCCTGTACTGCCTATCTCTGGGTATGTTTGACATAAGAAGATAAGTCCTTGTGTACTGAAGACTTTGAGAATGGGTCTCTAATACTAAAGCCAAACACAGTTCCTAACATGATGTACTTTCAAAAACCCAATTCATAATCACCTGTTATTAGGTATATAAACTTTATATAGTGGGGTAACAAAGAGTTAGTTCAGAAACGCAGGTTTTTTTGTTTTGTTTTGTTTTGTTTTATAATACGCTGTTGCAAAAGAAACTTTTTGTAGGGAATCATAGGAAAATGTCCTGCAGAAGATGGTATTTGGCCAAAGTGGGGTTGGGGCAGTCTTCCTAGTAGAACTCTGCTTGGAAGCTTTTCTTCTTCCTCCTAAAACCACAAAGGCCTATCAATAATGCCTCACACAGTCAAAGCTTTGAAAAAAATTGTAGTTATTCTCAGAAGAGTTCCAACAGAATATGGATTGGACAACTGCAAATGAAACAGACAAAGGGGAGAGAGAGAGAAAAAAAAGAAAAGCCACTTGCAACATCATAGCCAACAGCAGATCTAATCTTTCTGCCAAAAGGGTAGAAAGCCCCCTTGTAGCTCAATGATCGTAAGAAACCGTGATGCTTCATAGGACCAGTTGGAGCCTATGGGATACCAGAAACTCAGAAAAAGAAGTAAAACAAGTCAATAAAGATGAGAGTGAAATCAGAATAGTATGCTCAGGACAGAGCTAATGGGGATAATTGAACACCTTGTATTCAGCCATCTGAAGCTAATATCACATACCAATGACATATATACACATAGATATGCATACACATATACATATATATATACATTTGTATATTCATGAGGTGGATACATTCTGCATAGTTTGGCATGATGCTAGTAGTATAATTTACCTGAGGATCTGGTGAACCACTTGGTTCAAGTAATAAAGATGATGTTGGGAGAAATGGGGAGGGGAGAGGGACAGGAGAGGAGGAGAGAAAACCTTTCTAATTTCACTGAAATCTCTGGCCATAGTATGACCAGGTTAATGGCTGAGTCTCCAAAAAAGGGACCAGTTGGCATTGACAACTACAGAGGTAGCAGCCATAAATTAAGCTTGACAGATAATTAAGCAGAGAGTGGTCCAAATGGCTACATCCAGCAAACCTCAGTTTTAGGGAGGGTTTCAGAAAGCTTGAGGGTTGCTTAATTGGAAATATTTGAATTTGCAAGGTCACTGCCATGGTGCTTGGGCAGGAATTAAAACTTTACCAAGTCTTTTCAACCACCAGATAAAAGAAATGTGAACTTCCCTAAACAGAGTCAGTTCTCCCTCTTCTGTGTTCCATTGTGGTTAGAACATTCTATTTATACAACACTCCACATGATATTTCTGCTGCCTATCAATTTTCCCCCATTAAACTGGGCATTTTCCTATAAAGCTAGGCAGCTCTTATACAGGCATATAGTGGATTAAATGAATGAAGAAAGAATTAGTGAACAAATGAAAGACATGAACCTGGATTGGAATAGACAGACCTTTGATTTGAATTCTGTAACAGCTTTTTATTAGCTGTGTGGTCTTGGGCAAGTTTCTTACTTTCTTTGAATAATATCTAAAAGGCTAGTCTTATGGATTAAACAAGATAGTATGTAACGTACCCAGCACAGTGACTAGTAAAAAGTAAGTACTCCAAAATGTTCACCCCCTTTCCCCCTTCCCTTTTTCCGAGGCCCATGCTGGGTCTGGTTCACCCTTTATTTTCAGCAGTAAGCATGCTATCTGGTTGCAGTGAGCATTCAAGATATAGTTGCTGAAACTTGAACTGAGTTGGTGCCAGTTGGTGCCAATACAATTGCTGTGGTAGCCAGACATAAATACTTTGTGATAGGCAGAGAGACTGATGATCTGATTGGTGAGCAGTTCAGTTACATATAAGAACTCTTATAAAAGTATATAGTGGTTCCCATATCTGCTTATGAGAAATGTCCTACATGAAGAATATTTTACAGAAATATCTTTTCTTTTTCTCTACTTTCACACATACTTGTGGAATTGGACAATTAAATATTGGTACATACATGTTTGTGGCTAAGTTATACTTAAGTACTGGAGGGGGAACTGGACAATGGCTTAAAGAGGGCTGAAATATTATTAAGGAGCAATAGTTTATTTTTCTTACAACATAATCAGAACAAAATGTTTGAAAAGGTTATAGGAAAGCAGTGGTTTCCCATTCAAATCAATACCACACCCACTCTTCCATAGCTTGCAAAATCAGGAAATAACACAAACACTTCTAAGTGGAGGAACATCTAAAAATACAATTGGATACACTAAAATTGAAATGACACCTTTTCAGATCTGGTTTATTGATGTGTCATATTAGGAGCTGGAATCATCATACATAATACAGGAGTGGTTAATGAGCTAAGATTCATACACAGCTTGCTAAAGATGTGTCAACGGTCTTCAACTGATTCAGTGAGCATCTGAAAGACAGCATTTTCTATTGACATTTCTCCAGCATATTTCTCCTTCAGCATATGGTTTCTCATTATTGTGAAGTATTGAGAGTTTTAAGAAGACTTTGAGATATCTCTCTCTGACTTTTATGTTATGACTAAAGGTGGAAAAAGGAAGATTTTCTACATGGAGAATTAGAGAATCTCTTAGGTAAATCGTATACTAAGAGACTTATACACCATTCTTCCAGCAATAATAAACTCCACAATTCTTTCCTTTTTCACTCACATTTGCTCCCACCCTCATTCCCTTATGATTCATTTTTGTATGTACTCTGTGCTCTTTAATACTTCCATTTTAGTTCCCTACCCATATCCAATCTCTAAGCTATGAACCCACAACTGCATACAAAACCTTTCTGTAGTACTTCCTTTTTGCCACCCAATAGTGGAAAAAAGTGGATATGTAAAAATATACACAATGTGCATGTACATATTAAAATAGTAAACTCTTTCTTACTAAACGCCCACTCCTCACCTACCTGGCCCCATATTCTCCAACTACGCTGCTCAGTTACAACTGAATTCTGTTGTAAATGAGCTTCTTCAAAAGCAACTCCAGGCTACTTAGAGAAGCAACATCTCCTACATGATTTGAAATAGCTTTTAATGTTATATAAGGACGTGGCTTTATAGTTTTCCCCTGATTCATGGTTTTGAGGACACATATTTAAAAATATGGTTTATGATAGTTACATTTGCATTTATCTGCATGAAATGTTGCTACTAAAACAAGGACATTTACAACCAAATGCCTTTTGCAAAGAGATAAGATAAAGTTGTACAATGATGGAAAGAGTTCTGTGCAGTGCAGAACCCTGGACCTGATGACCCCTGGACACTTTTCCGGCCTTATCATCCATGTATTTATTATTCTTAACTTATTTATAGCCACATGTTAAATCATATTTCAAAATTAA